AAATTAGCAACCCGGAATTTTTATTTAATAGTTAATTTAAGTCGTATTAATACGTTAATACGATTTTAAAAAAGTGAACTATCGTTTCTTAAATATATTACCAGTGTTGGTAATGATAAAATTGAGCGCATAAAATTTGGTGATAAAGTGGATAAAAAAATCAAAGCTAATACAAAAGATAAAAATTAGAATAAAATTATTTTGAATTCACTCCTTGATATTTGTCTTTAACATCTGTCGCCGGCGTGTAGTACTGCCGGGAATATGAAAACCAAACTTTGATGTCCCATTCGGAATAGAAGTGGATTAAATCCGTTGTTATGATAGGTTTAAATGTGTGAAAAAAATATATCGCAATTACGGGGTCATTACGTAATCGATTTGGCCGTAATTACGGAATTGATTTTTGTCAATTACGTGCAAGCCTATTGTATATTATAGGAAGACGCACAATCCAAATTCCGAAAACAGATAAAACTGAGACACACTTAACTCTTAACACAGTAAATCAGGAGTGAATCAAAACACATCACACTTAACGCAGTAAAACAGAAGTGGATCTTAACACAATATTATGCAGCCCTCTCGGCAAGCCGGGACGATACGTCATCAAATTGGTCGATACGAGAAAGGCAGTACATGTAATCAGTAATCAGTGTTGCTACAATAAAATGACCTATTGTGGGAAATGGAACACACTATTAAAACGAAAGGGTTAAATACATTATAATTCATAGTTACACAATGCACATTCGCTACACGGATATATATTCAAGCATACTTGTAAACATTATCTCATTGTCAGCTTTTAGTTATGTTTCCAAAAATTAGTTGTAAATTAAATAAATGAATAATCATTCTCCCATCCAAGCATTAGTTTAGTTGCAATAATCAAAAAAATTTATAAAATTAGCTATCAGTACATGTAAGCGGCACTTTAATTCAATATTTGTAATAAAAATGATGGTCTTGAAAATGTGAACCCCTTTGTAAGCGCTAACTCAAAAAACATTATCAAAATGGACATCGGTAATTTTGCAGTAGTAAAGTATTGGAAGAATTTTACTGGGTTCAGGGATCGGCAAAACATCTATTAACCTTGTCCCACGTTTGATATTTCAAACATTTCATGCTAAACCTGCAGGCATCTCTCATTTGGCATTTTTGCCATCGTAAAAGAAATTGCGTTTTTATAATATCTTTTAAAATATTAATCAAACTCATCGAAGATCACCCACCTCATTAAAATACACGTCGACTTGATTATTCATCTGCAATATTTTTTTTCGAAACTCCACGTTCATTCTATGGCCGGCGGGAGGGAGCGATGACAATACATAAAGCACTGTGAGGGGTCGACGATTCAAAAAAGTTTGAGAAACGCTGGTCTAAAGCAGAGTTTTTCAAACTAGTGGAGCGTCAGATATAACAAATTCATCGACTTTACCACGAAGGGATCGTGATTCTCAATGTTAGTGTTGGAATGTCAGCAGTTATGGTGCTTTCCGAACCAGGAAACTCCCTAGACTTTTTATTTAAACGGTCCATCCACTAAATTAGAGACAACATCCGACCTCCAACTAAAGTTTTTCTGAAAATCATAAAATTATATCTAAAAACGCAACATTTGTGAAATGATCAACTCTACGTCTCGGAGGGAATTCTTTTCTAAAGTACCAGTCTCAGGAACAACAGCGACCTGACGGCCTACGCCAAGACCATTGGTTTTCAATCTTTATCAGCGTCAGAGTCAAATTTCAAACCTTAAAGTTGTGAGGACCCGCAAAACCACAACGCAAATTGAAATAGCAACAAAACAAAAGTATGTATTTTAAAATAATAACATCAACAAAGCTAGGGGTAAAAACCGATTTAACGCTAAACTTGATATTGACTTCGATTTATAATTCTGAAGTCTGAGAAGGCGAGGCGCAATCGTTATAAATGCATTCTTCAGCAATAAATATAACAATAGTGTACTGAAACGTAAGCTAAACATTGTGAGAAAAAAAAACACTATGACATTTTTATAACAAGTTGAAAAGTTGCACTCGAAACGACCTAACAGCACTTTAGTCTTTCAATTTCGAGTTAATGATCGATTTTCAATGAAAATGATTAATTTTCAAAGGATAATGAGAAAAAATAGTTGAGAGCTACATGCGCCTCTAAGAACGGCGGCTGAGAATCACTGGTCAAGGCTGTCCTCAGTTTTGATTTAGCGAACTCGTTCTGCGCGAAAATCGGAAGATTTTTGATAATATAAGCTACTGGAGACGAGGTAAGATAGCATACTGTAGAAGGTAAGGTGTGGGACATGGATACAGTTGAAAATCAGCTCTCACACTCATACTATATCCGGAATCAGGACTGCGGTTCGATGTTCGGCTCTTCGGACAACGACCGTGTAGAGTAGAGCGACGCAGGCTATGAGATGACATCGGTTTTGGGGGGCTGAAACTAAAATGCTTGAATCATGTCTGCGGTCCGATGTTTGAATCCGCCCTTCGGTGTGTTACAAAGTCCCTGCGAACGCGCAACGGCCGTGTATTTTTCACCATTCCAGTTTTTTCTTTTTTTCACCTTAGTCATTACAACATGACAAACCACCGTCTGATATTTTTCAGCTTCAGTCCACTGTAAAATATTCGTAACGTTGGCGAGTGAATGTGCCTCCCTAATCTCGACGTGGGACAGTCTGAAAATATATGTTTCCTGGGGAACAATGGATCGGGGTTAGTGGGACACGCTCCACTGGGCACAATTCGACCCTCTTTGATCCATTAAATGCTTAAAAGCCTAGAGATGTTTTGTGTAATATTACGATATCTTTTAGCCCATGGCCCTACATGTAATTTTCAGAACAGATTCGAAAAAGTAAATATTTTGCCAAAAATTTTACTTGTTAATATATACATGTTAGTGGACGCAGTTAACAGTTTAGTATTAGTGATTGAGAACATTACACTCTTTTTTTGTTCTTTTTGTACAGCACTCGAACCCCAATTCGATGTTTATGACCTTTTTATCAAAGAAATGTCATTATCGAGAATGGAAGTTTCAGAACTCATTTTCAATTCATTAAAATTAGGCATAGTACAAAGGTAAAATTATGAATTTATTTCAGAGTTAATAATAGGAATCTAAAATATGCAACAAGTCTGCAAAATATCTGAAATATTTTGGTTGACTCCGATTTCAAAAACATTAAATCTCCAAATTTAAAATGCTGATTCTTTGCATATTTTTAGGGGTATACTTCGTTGAATTCAACAAACGGGTCCATTGTGCCCCAGGGTCTGTCCGAATGTGCTCCATACGTGGGGTACAGTGGGACACTTGACAAACGTTTTTTAAAGCATTTTGGTGGTAAGATGTGTGCCGCAAGGGAATTTCTTAGTCGCTGAATAAAAACTACATTTACCCCTCTCTGCATTACAACCGTAAATTTAAATGAATGTGCAAAATATAGGGTGCATAATATGCAAAAGAAAAAATTGTCCCAATCCCAACCTTCCCCACTTTCCTCTACTGTAAAAGATTTGATACTGCAGTTGTGAGTTGAATCATTTGGTATTTTGATTCACGTTGAGACGTTGCACTAGTTCGCTGTCCGTTCTTAGTTATTCTGTGAAAGCGATTACGCTTTCCATCACATTCTTCCAGTTCTACTTTGAAGAGGATGGAATTTTCATATAGGTATCACCAGGGGAATGAAACTCAATGGCGACTTCCTCAAAGTCATAATCCTCTCGTCCGGTTATCCACATCGGGTGCAAGTATGGAAAGAGCTATCTTTTATTCGTTTCGGGTACGTGGACTTGAAGAGTAAAAAAATATTTCAAAATATCGTAATCTTATCATGAACTAGCTGTAACAGTCGTTCTTTGCAACCTGCACGAACCCGACTGCACACTATAATTTATTAACAGTTCAATAACGCGTGAATAATTAATCTTGATTAATTCAGGCCCGTGAAGCCCACCCAAATTTATGAACACAAGAAATTTTGAGAAAATATCGCAAATCACATGAATATATAAATATATACTTTTGCATGCAAACTAAAATATATATGCAATAAGCACAATAGTGCAACGCAATTATCAAATGCAATTAACCATTAAATAACATGCAGCCTTCAAATCGCAAAGAGTTGCGAATTTTAACATACCGAATTTGTCTGCTATTCCTGGCTTAAAAATATCACAAGTTAACATGGAACCACTCGTAAATGAAATCAAATGATTCAACTTTAAATGTAAGAACAATCACAAGAGCGGGCTTAATGCTTAGAACAAACATGGGCAAAGTACGCCCATGTACGTTGGGTGATTCAATCTGGCTCGCCCTTATGCTGCCACAACCAAATTTTGATGTTTTAGCTAAAAATAGCTCAAGGAATTTGTTGCGATTAAATTTTGTTTTGGCAGAGGCTTATTGTTTTCCACTGTTACATTTGTAACACTGTAAATATTGTTCATAAAATGTAGCTTTTTACGTCACACTTATATGGTCCGCCAGTCTAAGTGGGCAACATTTTTGTCCCCTGGTTTAAAAACGTTGCCCACCGCTATTATAGAAATATCATTGAACTTGGTCTATATGAAGTAACCCTACCCAACATTCTGCTTATCGCGCAACAAATCCGCATGTCAAAACTGCCAACCTAACTCTTTTTTACAAAGAAACGAGCGCCACTCTCTAAAAAGTAAAGCGCTGCCGAGAAGCAAATTATCCCCGACGATCGAGACTTGGGTGGGAAGGCTTTCGAAGCCTTCTGCATTGTTTCGTGATAAAGTGGTATTTGGCGTCAACAAAAACAAATAAATTGCTCCACAAGTAAAATCGACACACTGTTTGCGTCACTATAAGAAATCAGGTGAATGCGATTCCGATGTAACACTAACACAGATTATTAGACACGATGTCCAAAGTGATCTTTCACCATTACGTATATTTCCTCATCCAGTCTTCCCCAATCATTCAAAGAACAAGCATTTCAAGATTATTTCTATCATTCTAACAGATGGAAAAACACAAAATAAAAATATTCAGAATCAAGAAAACTGTAAATTTACATAAAAGCTTCATGTCATTCAGTACCCTCACATAAAGCAATAGAGAAGAAAGATAAATATATTTCATATCAGACTGTATGATTAAAAGAAAAACTTCTGAATAAGAATAATGGCCAAAGACAGACCAATATACATTAGTTCGCAATATATTTCTACCATACAACTTGTAGATATTGAATAAATAGACAGACGCAATTAAACATCATAACTAAATGAGGGTTGCGTTCTGCTGTTAACTCCAGAACAAGGAAAAATCCAACAATAAACTGGCCCATATCCAAATACTTCACGAACTAAAGACATTTTTGGTTTTCGTGACCTCACTGGCCTTGGCTTTCTTTTATTGATGACATGTTCTACCGCAGTTTCATCATCAAATATTGATGACATCTGTCAAACATAGATCAATAACTTATTAAAATTTTAGATCAGGCAGGAGAAGAATAGTTTTTCATCAATCATCATATTCCCTGATCTCACAGTAATATACACAACAGCCCACTACCTTTCTAGAAAATGTATTTTATCATGATGTCATAAAGTGTTTATGAAAACAAAGCCCAAGCATAAAGTACAGCAATAAGAGTCGAAAAATAATTTTGAACGAGTTTATTATCTACCATGAATCTTTGCACATTCAAATCTTGTTAAGCTAAAAACACTCAGTTTTATGTTCATGGACGACTGAAAGTTCATATGTATGTACATCGATGAATATACAGACTGGATAAACGTAAGCTGAACAACCTCCGCAAATCTGTATTCCTATTTCATTCATCTGCATTCTTATTTCATCTATTTATTAAATGAAGAAGAACACTTACCTGATCACAGAACATTGCAACAACAAATAATCCAAATAATATTGACTCGATACAAAGTGCGATGCTGTGCGCCCTGTGACAACAAACGCATGTATAAGCAACTTGATTGTCATATATATCGAATTCCTTATGAAGGTGTAGGCCAATTACAGGGTGACCACAAAAAAACAAATTTTTTAATTACTATGAAAATGATATTTATTTAACGACGCGTTGCGCTAAAGTTATGTTTTGTCTAGGTCTACAAATGTTTTTATTTTGGCGTCACCCCTCGCCCTGTTTATAATCACTAATTATTTGTCTTTAACTTTGTATCTTTTTTCTGACCATGAACTGTAATAAGTTAAGAGTAATCATGACAACCTTTTTGTCGCACTGTTATTCTAAATAATTTATTGGATTGGCAACCCTTTTAAAGTACCTAAATTGGCAATGCATTATTTTACGATCCCTAATACTTGAAATGGTCTTCCGAACAATACTAGCACTCTACAGATAGGTGTTATATGTAGGTATACTCAAGATCTTACATTGCAGATTGTCGGTTTGCAAATGATTCATCTGTCGATGTGTCTTTCACCATCCAAACCCACGATGATATATCTAGCGACAAGGCATATGCACACAGAATACCTGGTGTGTATAAGAACATATAAGTTGAATTCTTAAAAAATTACAGCATTATAACTTCTAGCTAACATCCTGAATTTAAAAAAATCGTTCACACAAACACATGTGGTATACATGATTCAGTCAAGTGTAGCTCGGCTGTCTTAGTTTATAATTCCAAGACATCGCTGTCATGGGGTTTCATCTTTGCAGTTTTCCAAAAGTTGGCCATCAGAAAGACACTCATTTCATGTCACTATAAGCCAGAATCAAACCAATCTGGCTTTTATGCAAGCTTTGTTTTATTGATAATGCTTGCTTAATCACTTTGTACAAATATCATGAAAACTTAAGTAGTGAATGTTAAATTAAATTGTTACATATGATATATGTGTGTACCTCATATCATCGGTAAAATTAGGAACATCTTTCAGTTCCGCATAGAGTGGGAGTATCAACTTACCTGTATAAAATAAAAATTGAATGAAATATTTTTGATTGCTTTCTCCAACGCAGTTATTGACCCTGGGTAAAAAAAGATGTGAAAACATGTTTATTGATTTGATACCTGCAATGAACACAAATAAAGGTTTCTCAAATAAAATTAATCCAGTCATCCTAATCCAGAATATGTATCCCAAGATAGAGTATAGACAAAATAGTTCTTATATGGCACAGTTATATTACCAAGGACAGTGGTGATCCATTCTTCGAATGCACCTTCTGCATATTTTACAATGATGAGCTCTAGGAGGTCGATATGTTTCACATCTCTGACAGACAGTCCAATCATCAGTCGCCAACGCCTGAAATGAGTTTGTAATTTGATCATATAACAATCGAATTGTCCTACATGCTTAGTCTGTAAAGTAAACTTTCCACTAATTGCACCATTTCTCATTCAAGTTAACACCTCATAAACATGAAAATTGAGCTCCAATTTAATTTAAAAAAAATGACACTGGAAAGCATATAAAAATGTACATATTGACAAATGCTGCATCCAAATTTATATTCAAATAGCCAAAGAGGCCAACTTTTATTTAGTGACTGCGCAGAGGGAAACATGGTTTTCCTACCTGTTCCTCTTGATGCTTCGTTTTCTGCGCATGAACATCAGAAAAATCAAGCCCAGTCATTGGCAAAGGCACAGTCCCAGGATCTGATAAAACTGTTCGAATATGTGCAAAGAGTTGAAGAAATATAAGAATATTGAAGCATAATGCATGAAACACTCCCCAGGCACTGAAAAAAAAATAGAAAATGCAATCTTGGTAGAGCACTTTACAATAAAGGCAAGTTCTTCTGAGAATAATTTCACATATAAATGTACCAAATATAATTTTGAATAAAGAATTTTTTTTTTGTAGAATAGCCCAAAACACAAAAGTCATCCCACTCTTAATTAAAAATTACATGTTCTATGTGTCATAAAAAATTTCAGCCCAATTTATTATCCATGTACCAGTTTATTATATATCAATTTTTGGTGCTTCCGTGCTAAGTTACATAATCATCTTATGGCATATGTGTATTACATACCTTCCCTCTAATGAACTCATTACAATCTGAGATATCACAACATAATCAGCGTAAAATATAAGTCCGTATGTAAAAACAATACATGTTATTCCACATGGGTCTCTTCGAAGCATTTTCAACACCTTTATAATGTTAATACACTATACAGTATTAAATCAAAACATTAAGATGAATTCTAAAAAGCACATGATTTTGATGAAAATAAAGTTTCAAAAAATAAGCAAGGATAGGACAGTATTTACATATCCATCCCAGGGGAGAGGAAAACGGATAAGACAGCTTAACCATATCACAGTATCATATGGTTAAGTCCATGGGGAGGCGGACAACTCGACTACACAGACAACTCACCAGAGACAACTCGACTACCTAGAGGCCTGGCGAGTTGTCCGTCTTTTGACATTTTCTACGGTGGTGTTTTAGGTCTATAGAAATGTGTTTTTGATATTTTTAATGCTCAAGTGTTGAGAAAAATACATAAATATGCTCTAGAAAGCATTTTTATTTGTATAAGTGGCTTATTTTGATCATGTTGTATGAATACAAATACAGTCTACAGACAAAATTGGAGTAACGTTAGCGAAGTTTGACTGTTGACTTATAGGACTGTGTTCGTTTAATTTTCGAACTTTATTGGTATTAAATGTTTTGAATGAGCACCTTTAAATATATTAAAACCTTTATACTTCACAGTAACACTTCGATATCGCAGAGCGATTGCTCGGCTGGTGAGTTGCCTGCCTCTCGTTGCTCGGTAGTCGAGTTGTCTTCACCTCGAGCATCGATGACGTCACGTCGTAGAGCGTTTGCTCGACTGGTGAGTTGACGGCCTGTCGGGCGACCGCCGTAGTCGAGTTCAGACTACTGCAATCATAGACTACTGAGCTCACATTCATAAATATTTAAGTGTTACTGTGAAGTATAAAGGTTTTAATATATTTAAAGGTGCTCATTCAAAACTTTTAATACCAATAAAGTTCAAAAAATCAAACGAACACAGTCCTATAAGTCAACAGTCTAACTTCGCTAACGTTACTCCAATTTCGTCTATAGACTGTATTTGTATTCATACAACATGATCAAAAAAGCCACCTATACAAATAAAAATACTTTCTAGAGCATATTTATTTATTTTTCTCAACATTTGAGCACTAAAAATATCAAAAACGCATTTCTATAGACCTAAAACACCACCATAGAAAATGCCAAAAGACGGACAACTCACCAGGCCTCTAGGTAGTTGAGTTGTCTCTGGTGAGTTGTCCGTGTAGTCGAGTTGTCCGTCAGCCAGTCCATGTATGATAATACTTATTTATATGATATCATCATTGATTAGTACACATTTTCCTCAAGTCTTTCAGCAGTTCAGTCATGGACTTGATGGTGGAAGAAGCCGTAACAGACAGGCAGGCAGCAGTTACCGTACGTGAACCACCCAACGGCAGCCAGGAGTCCAGCAATCCTCCCTCACATAACCATCCTGATGGTATTCGAACCTGCGAATCCATGCAGAGTACCGGTAATTAGAGCTGGCAAGCCAGCAAGCGTACTGGTACCGGTACCGTACGGTATTCCTGACGCTTAGCACGATGAGCCACCCCACCGCGCAAACGGTACATAAGCAAATATATTACTGTATTAGAGTCGGAGAATATTATTAATTCTGTAACTCTGGTAATGAAATATGAAAACACTGTTTCAATGATTTAACAGTCAGAGAGTTGGCTATCGAATACCGGTACTGGTATCAAGCTTACTTCCTTTTTTTAATTTCGCTAAAAAGGTACACAATACTAATAATAATGCATAATAAACCACTCAAGCACATAAATTACGGCACTAGCCTATTTGATTCCGTGATAATTGTTTAACGTAAGTTAACACCACAAGCTGACAAGCCTTCAGAACACAATTACGGTAATAATAATAGGTAAAGCAGGTATCGGGGTTTGGTAGTAAACTGCAGTCACTTTTGTAAACAGTAAACACACATGACCACGTGGTGGCGCAAGACAGCTCAGTTACGCACGAGTATGATTTGTAGACTGCTCCATGTTTGCATGCCGAGCGGCGTTATTGTTTCGTTTTCATTAAAAATGACGTTTCTATCAAGTTGGATTTCTCATTCGTCGCCGGTGGTTACGAAGGAAGGACCTCGGTCATTTGTGAAATACGTTGGTGAGGACTAGTGCATTTGTGAGTTATTATTAATTATATTTGATCAGACATCCGTTTTCGAAGTAGCATTTCATACAATACCGGTACCATTAAAAGTATAAGTTTATTTCGACTCCATAATCAGCATAACAATACATTTGACAGATAAAAACAAATAAATAAAATCTGATTATGAAATCAGGGGAGCAAACAAAACCTTAGATAAGGTTTATAACGTACAAAATATAAGATGAAAGGTTTTGCCAAGAGGAAGTGGTACGTGTTTACTCACCTAAAATTATCAAGTTATTTCACACACGCTCACATGCACCCACCAGCCACACACACACACAACCACTGAGAAGTTATTTAAGTAAGAATGAAACGCGATAAATTTAGGGTATACTATACAGTAAACAAAAAAATAAATAAATAAATACTAGAAAAGAAAATTATCTGCCACACCATATTGATATTTTTGTAATGGTTGCCATTGCCAAATTGATCGATCTTCTAATCGTTAATTAGGTATATAAAAGGAAGATTCTATGGAAAACATATTGCCAAGCTGATTATAGTTGGAGTCAAATGCCAAGTTGCCCAACCAAAGTTGCCAGAATTGGGTGCATGAAGAGGTGGGCGAGACCATTTCATTCCCCAAATTAGAGCCTATTATTGCCAAATTATAGTCCAGATTGTAATAAGTAATTAAGTTACCGGTAACAGTAAAATTACTATAATTAAGTAAAGTAGGATGTGGAAATAAATTGGTTACAAAGGGTGTAAGTGAGGTTTTTCATTCTTGGGTATTGATTTCAGACAAGGATATGGGAATGAGGTTGTTATTTCACAGGATATCGGGAGTCTTTTTTTGTTTTTTCCCTTATGTGTTTTACTTCATTTAATCACTTTGAAGTAACCTGAAAAACAAAAAATAAAACTGCGAGTAGATGTTTCAATGATTGGGTGTAGGGGAACGCTCTGAACTATTTATTACAGGCAAAAAATAATTGTTTAATTAAATGGGATGTATTGTCATTATATAGCGATGGATAGATGATCTATGATGACATTCTGCTTGGGACAGAGAAAAATTTATCACACCATGCAAAAAACACACAAAGTTTTACTATCTATACCTTGGCCAACAAGTCAACTCAAACACCATGCCTTAACATAAAACGCATGCATACATAAATGATATAAAAACCACATCCAATTACAATGACCCACAGCAAATTAAAATCTGAAGGGGAGAATCCAACATAGCTCTACTGCTCGCCTAGTTGCAATAATTAGTAACCTTGCAGGAACAATATTGTACCATCTACAACCCTAATACCACCACTCAAACATAAGACCAAGCGTGTATGATAGGGACATCACAGCTAGAAAAAGATAAAAACACGAGCGTGAAGTGATAGAATGTGTGCAGTTATTTAAAGAAAATATCATCCGAGTACGTTAGCTACCTATATATTTAAAAAAATATATATATACTCATGCATGTCACAATACCATTTCTTTGGTGCTGGACTAGTTCTGGCCAAGTCGTGGCAAGATATTATTATAGTCGTGGCACAATATTATTATAGCTGTTCAACATTTTCATTAAAACAATAATGTGCAAGTGTGGAGTGTCCCAAGTTTTTGTCATCGAATACCACCAGTAGTAATTTTTAATATTTAATATTTGGAAACTAAATGAGACTTGACTTGTTTTTGAAAAGATTTTTTGGACTTTATTGTCTTCAAATTTAAGGGAAGAGAATTCCAAAGTTTGGGTCCAGTAAAAGACAAGGAATGCTGACTCACGGATTTACTCATGAAAGGCACGAATAAATCAGAACTACTTCTTCGGTTGGACGTATTTTTGACAAGTATGTCATTAAAGCAATTGGGCAGCGCATTATTATGGAAGTCGTGAGCTAGGGATAATATTTCAAATTTCATCATATCTTCAACCTTAAGTATATTTAGTGATTTGAAGTAAGAGTCTACACTTTCACGTTTTCTTTTACCAAGAACTATTCTTAAAAAATTATTACAAATACTCTGCAGTTTTGAGACAAGTGTTTTATTACCATGAAGCCAGACTGAACAACAATATCGAATATGGCTAAGTAGTAATGATTGAAACATTGCTAGTAGAGCTGATTGGTCAACACACTGGGATACTTTGGCAGAAACTGCTAGGTTTCTTTTTGTTTTACCAATAACATGCATTATTTGTGATTTCCATGACAGATTTTCATCAAAGATAACTCCTAGAAATTTTATTTCTTTCACTCTTTCAATTTCATTGCCATTGAGCAGTAGTTTTTTTGAACAACTCACACTTTTATGCTTGCTTGGATGGAATAATACAAATTTAGTTTTGTTAGCATTCAGAGATAATTTATTAACTAACATCCAGCTATGAATGTTGGTTAGTTCTTGGTTTGCAACTGTGAATAGATCTTCAAGGTTTTCCCCATGAAGAATCAAGTTAGTGTCATCAGCAAACATGATCGACTCAGAGGATTTCAGACACCTGGACATGTCATTAATGTAAGCTAGAAAAAATAATGGACCAAGTAAAGATCCTTGTGGAACTCCGTGCTTCATGACACAAATATTTGTAGAGAATGAGTTGTCATATTGCACAATTTGCTTCCTGTCTTGAAGGTAGCTCTTGATCCAATTGAATGGAAAGCCTCTAATTCCATAGTGATAGAGCTTACTTAAGAGGATGGAATGGTCAATGGTGTCAAAAGCTTTTGAGATATCAAGAAATATTCCAATTGCATGTTGTTTGCATTCAAACGCATTGGTCAGTTTGTGTACCAAAACATTAGCAGCCATAGCAGTGGAGTGATGCTTGCGGAAACCAAATTGATGCGAGTGGAAAACATTGTTAGTTTCAAAGTAGTTTGACATTCTACTATACATTATTTTTTCAAGAATCTTAGAAAATGATGGTAAAAGACTAATAGGTCTATAGTTTCCAAGATCTGAAACACTACCTTTTTTAAACAGAGGAAGAACTTTGGAT